AGGCTGAGGCCGAGGCCGAGGCAGGCTGAGGCTGAGGCTGAGGCAAGCCGAGGCAGGCTGAGGCTGAGGCTGTGGCTGAGGCAGGCTGAGGCTGAGGCTGAGGCTGAGGCTGAGGCAAGCTGCGGCTGAGGCAGGCTGAGGCTGATTGCCGGCTGAGGCTGAGGCAGCTGAGGCTGATGCTGAGGCTGAGGCAGCTGAGGCTGAAGGCAGACTGAAGCTGAGGACGAGGCTGAAGGCAGACTGAGGCTGAGGCTGAAGCAGGCTGAGGCTGAGGCTGAGGCAGGCTGAGGCTGAGGCTGAGGCAGGCTGATGCTGAGGCAGGCTGAGGCTGAGGCTGAGGCTGATGCAGGCTGAGGCTGAGGCAGGCTGAGGCTGAGGCCGAGGCTGAAGGCAGACTGAGGCTGAGGCTGAAGCAGGCTGAGGCTGCGGCTGAGGCTGAGCAGGCTAGGCTGCGGCTCGGGCAGGCTGAGCTGGAACGGGGCCGAGGCCGGCTTGATGAGACAGGCCTGGCTGAGGCAGGCTGAGCTGAACCCTGATGCAGGCGGAGGCTGAGCTGAGGCTGGGCTGAGGCAAGCTGCGGCTGAGGCAGGCCTGAGTCAGTAGCCTGAGCATGGCTGAGCATGGCTGAGGCTGAGGCTGATGCAGGCTGAGGCTGGGGCAGGCTGAGGCTGAGGCCGAGGCTGAAGGCAGACTGAGGCTGAGGCTGAAGCAGGCTGAGGCTGAGGCTGAGGCAGGTTGAGGCTGAGGCAGGCTGAGGCTGAGGCTGAGGCTGATGCAGGCTGAGGCTGAGGCAGGCTGAGGCTGAGGCCGAGGCTGAAGGCAGACTGAGGCTGAGGCTGAAGCAGGCTGAGGCTGAGGCTGAGGCAGGCTGAGGCTGAGGCAGGCTGAGGCTTAGGCAGGCTGAGGCTGAGGCTGCGACTGCGAGAACAGCAGAATTCTACAACTGGATTATCACCTAAATCTTAATGGGAATGCTTCCAGATATGCTTCTGCACATCGCTGTTAGGTTGCTTTGCCGGGATGATTGGTTTTTGTTTGGTTCTGCCCTCCATTTAGTGTGGTGCCAGTCTCCCTTGTCGTAGAAGAGGGAGGGGAGCGGAGGTGTCGGATCGGACGGAAGAGGGGGGGGATAAATTAACCGGACGAAGGACCCAACCATATGCAGTTGTGAATGCCGCAATTGTGCTGGGTGGTGGCGGACGCATGCGGGCGGTGCCACTGGGACCTTCGGTGGAGCTCCCTATGGGGCCACGAAACGCTGTACTGGGTGGGTGGGACGCGGTCAGCAAGGGCTGTGCTGCGTGGTGGCGGACGCATGCGAGCGGTGCCACTGGGACCTTCGGTGGAGCTCCCTATGGGGCCACGAAACGCTGTACTGGGTGGGTGACACGCAGGCAGGGAGCAAGGGCTGCGCAGGGTGGTGGCGGACGCATGCGGGCGGTGCCGCTGGGACCTTTGGTGGAGCCCCCTATGGGGCCACGAAACGTGCGAGGGGTGTGCCAGAATGGGGTGTGGAACCGCATGCCAGCGCAGCCACTGGGGCCTTCGGTGGAGCTCCCTATGGAACCACGAAACGTGTGAGGGGTGTGCCGAAATGGGGGGTGGAACCGCATGCGAGCGCAGCCACTGCGGCGTTCGGTGGAGCTCCCTATGGGGCAACGAGACGTGTGAAGGGCGTGCCGAAAAAGGGGGTGGAACCGCATGCGAGCGCAGCCACTGGGGCCTTCGGTGGAGCTCTCTATGGGGCCACGAACCGTGTGAGGGGTGTGCCGAAATGGGGGGGGGAACCACATGCGAGCGCAGCCACTGGGGCGTTCGGTGGGGCTCCCCATGGAGCCACCCACGAAGCGTGTGAGGGGTGTGCCAGAATGGGGGGTGGAACCGCATGCGGGCGCAGCCACTGGGGCCTTCGGTGGAGCTCCCTATGGGGCCACGAAACGTTTGAGGGGTGTGCCAGAATGGGGGGTGGAACCGCATGCGGGCGCAGCCACTGGGGCCTTCGGTGGAGCTCCCTGTGGGGCCACGAAACGTGTGAGGGGTGTGCCAGAATGGGTGGTGGAACCGCATGCGGGCGCAGCCACTGGGGCCTTCGGTGGAGCTCCCTATGGGGCCACGAAACGTGTGAGGGGTGTGCCAGAACGGGGGGTGGAACCGCATGCGGGCGCAGCCACTGGGGCCTTCGGTGGAGCTCCCTATGGGGCCACGAAACGTGTGAGGGGGTGTGCCAGAATGGGGGGTGGAACCGCATGCGGGCGCAGCCACTGGGGCCTTCGGTGGAGCTCCCTATGGGGCCACGAAACGTGTGAGGGGTGTGCCAGAATGTGGGGTGGAACCGCATGCGGGCGAAGCCACTGGGGCCTTCGGTGGAGCTCCCTATGGGGCCACGAAACGTGTGAGGGGTGTGCCAGAATGGGGGGTGGAACCGCATGCGGGCGCAGCCACTGGGGCCTTCGGTGGAGCTCCCTATGGGGCCACGAAACGTGTGAGGGGTGTGTCAGAATGGGGGGTGGAACCGCACGCGGGCGCAGCCACTGGGGCCTTCGGTGGAGCTCCCTATGGGGCCACGAAACGTGTGAGGGGTGTGCCAGAATGGGGGGTGGAACCGCATGCGGGCGCAGCCACTGGGGCCTTCGGTGGAGCTCCCTATGGGGCCTCGAAACGTGTGAGGGGTGTGCCAGAATGGGGGGTGGAACCGCATGCGGGCGCAGCCACTGGGGCCTTCGGTGGAGCTCCCTATGGGGCCACGAAACGTGTGAGGGGTGTTCCAGAATGGGGGGTGGAACCGCATGCGGGCGCAGCCACTGGGGCCTTCGGTGGAGCTCCCTATGGGGCCACGAAACGTGTGAAGGGTGTGCCAGAATGGGGGGTGGAACCGCATGCGGGCGCAGCCACTGTGGCCTTCGGTGGAGCTCCCTGTGGGGCCACGAAACGTGTGAGGGGTGGCCAGAATGGGGGGTGGAACCGCATGCGGGCGCAGCCACCTGGGGCTTCGGTGGAGCTCCCTCTGGGGCCACGAACGTTGGGTAGGTGTGCCAGACATGGGTGTGAGGGGGAGGAGGGGGGAGAAGGGGAGGAGGAGGAGGACGGAGGAGGAGGAGGAAGGAACGCGGGGCGACGTCTCTTCAAAACGAGGACCCAACACCACAGGATGGTTGGGAAAAAGGCAGGGGTGCGAAATTTGCTGCATACACTTGTTTCGCCCCCGCTGGCAGGCGCGTTTCATTGGGGCCTCCTGCGGAGGCGCCGGAAAGATCAGCCACGTGAGCGGATTCGCTGAACCTCCCTCTTGCCACTCAAGAACTGGCTACGCGAGCCGATTCGATGAGAAGCCCCCTTTTCCCATAGCGCACCGCTTCGCCCGACCCGATCCTGGTCATTCGGGGATGGGGGGTCTCATTTAGGCCGCCTCGGGAGCGATCCTGGGCCAGCCCGCGGCTCTCTGGGGATGTCCTCTCGGGCCAGCGCGGCACTCTCCTGGGGCAGTCGCGGGCCGCTCGGGAGCCTTGCGTCCGGCCCGGCTGCTGTTTTGCACTGCGTCGCGCTGCGCAGCACGCCGTTTGGGCTGGCGCTCCGTAGTGGGCTCGCAGAGGAGAAAAGTGACAATACCGCTGCGCGTCCTGGAGATCTCTCGCGTCGCCACGACTGGGATCTCCTCGCAATTCTGTCGGCGGCGAGCCTGGGAGGGAAGTGAGGCGGAACGGGCCTTCTCAGACGCCTCGGAAGGCCTCGGGCCCTCTGAGAAGTGCTCCGAGCCCTCCCCGAAGACACCGCGAGGTTCTCAGAAGGCTCCTCAGCCATTCTGGCTGCTGGCTCAAGGCCGTGCGGGCCCAAGCGACAGTGGTTCGGCCACGCACGAGGGGCGCCAATGCGGCGCCGCGCCCTCTCGCCGTGCCGCCGCGCCGCCCGTGGCGGCGTCGGGCTGCTCCTGACTGCGGCGGCGTGGTTGGCAGCGAGGCCGCTGGACGCTGGGCGCCTCCCGGGATTTGCTTTTGTGGCACCAGTGATGGGCAAACTTTCCACCGCCACTGCCATACGTAGGACCGGGGAGAGGGGAGGATGAAGAGGTCCTCCTCCTCCTCCTCCTCCTCCTCCTCCTCCTCCTCCTCCTCCTCCTTCTCCCCCCTCTCCTACCAGTGGTGGTGGTGGTGGAAACTGTGCCCACCAACCAGAACGAGGCCACGCGCCGAAGAAGGTGGCGGCGCAGGCGGTGTCCGCTCGCGCGCTGGAGCTGCCCGCCGCCCACCGGGCGGCGCTGCGGCTGCCGCCGCTGCCGCCAGTGCAGCCTTTGGACGACTGTGTCCGCAAGCAGGACGGTTTTCAGGCCAGGAGTGGACCTAAAAACGGTGTTTGGGCGATTTCGTGGGCCGTTTTCGTTTCGACGTCGTTTTGCGCTAGAGGCGGATGGAAGACAGAAGGAGGGGAAACGAAGACAGCACGAAAAGGAAACACACCGTTTAGGTTCAGCCCTGTTTCAGGCCATGCTTCCATACTACAGCGGTTTCTTCGTCTTCCAGCTCGTTGTCTTCCTGTCGCTGGTAGATTGGGCAGCGTGAGCACGCCGTGGGAGGACCGCGCCGGCGACGTGTATTTTTTTAGAGAACTGAGGACAACATGGAATGTTCGCCAGCGCATCTGTCTGGCTTGCTGCCGCCCGTTGCACGTCTTTCCCAGAATTCGGCTGCAAAGCGCGACACGCGCACTGTGCATGGTTGTACATAGTTGTCGTGGCAACACACAGAATTCGTGAATTGTTTGGCGAGAAAGGCTTGCCAGTGACAGTCGTTTGGTTGGTTGGGGATCTTCGCGTCTGTCGCTCGCCCATGTCCTCCAGGAGAGGCGGCAGCAGATATCTGCAGCAGACGCAGAACGTGTATCATCAGACGCGGCAGGAGTCGCGAAGACTCCATCTGGTGCGACACCGCATGGCTTGCGGCAAGCAGTCTCCCCGCCACCCAGTTTTGTAGAACGGCTCACTCGGCCAGCGCAGTGTACATACGTGGATGTTTTGTGAGGAGGAGGAGGAGGAGGAGGAGGAGGAGGAGGAGGAGGAGGAGGCGTTTTTCGGGGCGCCGCTTCACGTCCTCTCCTCGCTGCCGCGCTCCGACTCGAGCACGAGCACCCCCCCCGGCAGAGAGCCTCCCGGCCCGTGGCACTGCGGCGCCCGCCGCGCCCGCGGCGCGTGGAGCGCGCGCGCGGGGGCCCGGGCATGGCAGGGTCGGGGGAGCGTAAGACCCGGGTTTGCCAGGACTCGTGTGTGTCCTGGTGGGGCGCCTTGAAGATTGAGCCTGCCAGATTGGCTTCGACTACCCAGCATGGCGAACCCCCTGAGCCGGTGCCCCCCCTGGCGTGGCCCCGAGAGCGGCGCAGGGCGAGAGGGCGGGGCGAGCAGCCCCCCGAGCCGGAAGGGCCCGCGGTGCGCCCGCCAAGTTTCGGGGGAGCGCAAGACCCAGGTTTGCCAGGACTCGGGTGCGCCATCGTTTCTTGACGACCGCGCCTCGGATTTTGACGAGGAGGGGTTTCGTGGGATGTCTGCAGCGGGAGGCCTCGTCAAAATGCGGGCTCGGCCTCGTCGTTTTTGTTGACGACCTCGTCGGGGATTTCCGAGTCCCCTGTACCCGGGTCTCACGCCCCCCTGAGTGGTGTGTGGCTTGCAGCGGACTGCAGCCGAGGTGGAGGGAGGAGAAGAAGAAGAAGAAGAAGAAGAAGGAGGAGGAGGAGGAGGAGATGGAGAAGGAGAAGGAGAAGGAGGAGGAGGAGGAGGGATTTCCGAGTCCCCTGTACCCAGGTCTTACGTCCCCCTGACAGGAGCGGGGCGGGCCCGCCGCCCGACGACGGCCTCGGCGGGAGCCGGGCAGCCAACGCACCGACACCGTGCAGGCCTCGGAGGTAGACGGAGCGGGTCGGGACGGGTCGGGGAGACCGCGCGTGGAAGAGGTGAAGGAGTCGGGTGCCCGGGGATCCGCCACCCTCCTCCTCCTCCCCCTCCTCCCCCTCCACAATTACGGTAGGTTTGCGTCGTGTCGACCAGCGGCGACCCCAGCGCGGGCGTTCAAGGTTGAACGCCGCCGGCGACCCAGAATCGGTCGATGTTGAACGATTGGACGTTGCGGAAACGGCCGATCGTTCAAGGTTAAACGATCCCCGCGGTGTCAGAAACCAACGCCGAAGTCGGCACGACACGGACCTGCCGTACTCAATATCAATACTACTCTCCCGCTTCCCTTGATGACGGTTTGAAAGTGGCAGACCCCCCCCCCGCGTGCTGTTTTTTACGCAGGTTTCCCCGGAGTTGGGTTTTCGCTTGCATTTGTTCCCAAAATGCTGCTCTCGCTGAGGCGCCGGCCTCATTTTCGGGCCCCGCTCGTTCCGAATCGTGCTCCCGCTGCAGCGCTGGCCTCATTTCTGTGCTTCCGCTCGTTCCGAATCGTACTCCCGCTGCAGCGCTGGCCTCATTTCCGCGCTTCCGCTGGTTTCGACTCGTGCTCCCGTTGGGTTTTCGCCTGCATTTTTTTCAAAATGCTGGTCTCGCTGAGGCGCCGGCCTCATTTTCGGACCCCGCTCGTTCCGAATCGTGCTCCCGCTGCAGCGCTGGCCTCATTTCCGTGCTTCCGCTCGTTCCGAATCGTGCTCCCGCTGCAGCGCTAGCCTCATTTCCGCGCTTCCGCTCGTTCCGACTCGTGCTCCCGCTGCAGCGCTGGCGTCATTTCCCGTGCCATGCCACGGCATGCAATGCAATGCTAGGTTGCGTTCCGCTGCGCGATGCCATGCCTTCAGCTGACGCTGTGATATGCCGTGCTTAAGTGCCTCGTCGTGCTATGCCATGCTACGTTTTGATCTTCAACGCCATGCTATGCAATGTTATGTTCGGGGCCGCTGTGCGATGCCATGCTTTGCATTGCAAAGCTTTGTGATGCAATTCGTCACTACGCCACGCCACGCCATGCTGTGACATACTACGCTTTGCGGTGCTCTTCTACGCCATGCCATGCCGTGCTCTACAATGCATCGCGTACCCTTTCGGGATCATTGCCCTGCTCGACATCCGACTGAGCGAGTAGAGAGGGGATGTACGCCATGGTAAGGGGATGTGAGGGAGGGGTAGGATGTCAGATATGACGCGAGCGCACCTAGCTTGTCCCCCCCCCCTCCCCCTCCCCCTCCTCCTCCTCCCCCTCCCTCCTCCCCCTCCTCCTCCTCCTCCTCCTCCTCCTCCTCCTTCTCCTCCTCCTCCTCCTCCTCCTCCTCCTCCTCCTTCCTCCTCCTCCTCCTCCTCCTCTCCTCCTCCTCCTCCTCCTCCTCCGACCTCCTCCTCCTCCTCCTCCTCCTCCCCATCCCTCTCCCCCCCCCCTCCCCCTCCCCTCCCCCTCCTCCGCCTCCTCCTCTCCTCCTCCTCTCCTCCTCCTCCTCTCCTCCTCCTCCTCCTCTCCCTCCCTCCCTCCCTCCCGTCCCTCCCTCCTCCCTCCCCTCCCCCTCCCTCCCTCCCTCCCTCCCTCCCTCCCGCCTCCCTCCGCCCTCCTCCCTCCCTCCCTCCTCCTCCTCCTCCTCCTCCTCCTCCTCCTCCTCCTCCTCCTCCTCCTCCTCCTCCTCCTCCCTCCTCCTCCTCCTCCTCCTAACCTCCTCCTCCTCCCCTCCTCCTCTCCTCCTCCTCCCCCTCCTCCTCATCCTCCTCCTCCTCCTCCTCCTCCCTCTCCTCCTCCTCCTCCTCTCCTCTCCTCCTCCTCCTCCTCCTCCTCCTCCTCCTCCTCCTCCTCCTCCCTCTCCCTATCCCTCCTCCCTGCCTCCCTCCCTCCCCCTCCCTCCTCCCCCCTCCCCCCTCCCCCCTCCCTCCTCGTGCTCGGGTCGTCCCGAGGACGGGGCCTGCGGGTGCCCGCGGTCGGGCCCTCGGCGGCCCTGGCAGCTCCCCGGAGGGGGCCGGGAGCGGCGGCCGCGGCCGCCGCCCCTCCCGGCGGGCGCGCGGCGTGCCGCTCTCGGCGCGCGGGGGGAGCGAGTCGAGCAGTGGCGAAGCGTCCTGGCTCGCGTATATCGGGGGCGGAAGAGAGGGGGGTGGGGGATGACGATTAGGGGGGTGATCTCATGGATATCACGTCGGGGGCCATGATATTTCCCCAGATCTCATGGCGCCTCTTCTTATTCCATTACGTCCCTGGCCCCCCCGCTGGGCCGCGCACATGCCGCCGGTCATGATTTGCACCCCCCCCTCTTGGACACCCCCCTCTTGGCCGCTCCCGAGAGTCAAGCAGTGGCGAAGCGTCCTGGCTCGCGTATGGCCCTACCAAACAATATTCTAATCATCTTTTGTGGCTTCCACGGAATGGTCTTAGAACGTGTTCTGGCGGAGTCTGTCTTGTTTTGTCACATCGGGCTTATGTTCTAAGAACGCTGTTTTTGTTATTCGAACGTTTTTGGGTTCTAAGAACATGTCTTGGTAGGACTATAGGACTGCCGGGATGGTCGGTCCCTGCTCAATCAAGGCAGAACGAGAATCTCAGGAGGCTGAAAGGCTTCTGCGAAGCCCCGCCGCCTTCTGAGAAGGCCTGCTCCCTCGCACTTACCCCTTGGGAGAAGCCTGGGGAGTCGAGTCGGACCGGGGTTCTAACATCGAAGGCGGTTCGGGGAGGGTGCCCGAGTGTTCTTCGTGCTTGTTGGGTGCTGCTGCGCATCCCGGGGGAGGAGATCCTCGAGTGATCTGTATGGCTTGGGGTGTTTTGGCCAGCGGAGGCTTTCATGTTCTTGAAGGATGTTCTGCTGTCCCAGGTCCGGCCCTGGCCCCGCGGCCCCCTCGCGGCTCTCTGGCCCAGGCCTCCAAGAAGGCCAAGAGCGGCCCCAGCGCCAAGAGCAGCCCTCTGCGTGGCTGGGCTTTCCGCCGTCGGCCGGTCCTCGTCTGGGGCATCTCCACGGGTCCTTGGGCCCGAAGGGGCCTGTGCTATCGACCCGCGTTGCTCTGGCCATGTTTCGATTGTAGACGGGTTCGGAGGGTTGTGCCGCATCGCCGATGCATCGGCGACGCGTCTCGGTGCGGCTCGGCGATGCGTTTCGATCTGGACCAGATCGAAACGTGGCAGCTCCGTGGGGCTACCAGTGGTAGCCCCGCGGCCCCCCGTCGTGGCTCCCTGTGGGCGGGGCAGCTGGCCCTTGCTCGTGTTCGGCGGCGCGCCCTTGGGCATGGAAGCTCGACGCCTCCTGGCGTGGTCGACTGTTCCTGTACTCCAGATTTCGTAATAAAAGGGAGGGGGTCTGAAAGGGAGAGGGGTTCTGGACCCTCCAAGACAAAAAAAAAAGCCCCCCATTTTCCCCCCCCCCCCCAGGAAAAAAACCCCCCTCCCCCGTGGGAGAACCCTCCAAAACATCGTCCCCAGACCCCCCCAGCCCTCCAAGATAGCCTGGAAGAGACCCCCCCCGAAATGAGACCCCCCTCCCTTTATTACGAAATCTGGAGTAGGTATTGTCCAGCCTTGGGTTGCTCTGCTGCCGTTGTCTTTGTCGTTCTCGCCGGTGCCCGGAGTTGCACCGGGGCGGGCGGTCTGGATCTGGACGGGGCTGGGACGAGGATAAATCCGTTCCAGAGCGTTCTGGAGCGCTCGTAGAGCGTTCCGGAACGCTCTGAGAAGGCCGCGGCGCCCGATACATCCTTCAGAACCGCCTGATCGCAGAGATTCCCGATTTATCCTCCCCCGATTTATCCTCGTCTTGGCTTCTTCTTAGCTTGAGACGGACTCAGGCTTGGAGGGCAGGATTCGGGTAGTTGGAGGAGGATAGCCCCCCCTTGCCGAGCCCCTGCAGTCAGCTCCTCGGCGGTCGCGAGTACTCCCGCGAGAAGTCTGCGAGCCTGGCGCAGTACATGGGTATCCCGCGCACACAGGGGCCGCCGAACATTCGGCTCTCGAAGGAGTCTACTTCGCCGCGAGTGGGAGAGCGAGGCAGCTTCTCTTCAGGAGGAGGCGGAGCAGCTGCGGCAGGGATCGAGGGAGGGATGAGGAGGACAAAGAGGCCCCAATGTAGTCACAGGAGGGGCTCCTCCTCCTCGTCCTCCTCGTCGCCCTCCTCCTCCTCCTCCTCCTCCTCCTCCTCGTCCTCCTCCTCCTCCTCCTCCTCCCCTCCTCCTCCTCCTCCTCCTCCTCCTCCTCCTCCTCCTCCTCCTCCTCCTCCTCCGCATCCCCTCGCCATGCGAGCAACGACACTGCTGTAAAAACTCCTTCCTCGCCCCCCTCCTCCTGTCTCTTCCCCTCCTGCTGCTGCTGCTGCTGCTGCTGCTGCTGCTGATCCTCGTCCTCCTACTCCTCTTCCTCCTCCTCCTCCTCCTCCTCCTCCTTCTCCTCTTCCTCCTCCTAATCCTCCTCCTCCTTCTGACTAGCTCGTTCCGTCTTTCTTTCGCGCCGCCTGATCTCTCCATGACTCGTGCGCTGGCTCGACCACCCCAGCAGCAACGAGAGCATGCCCAGCCGCTCTCGGGACAGCCGCCGCCGCCGCACTCTACTTCAGCTTTCGTAATAAAGGGAGGGGGGTCTCATTTCGGGGGGGGTCTTTTCCAGGCAATCTTGGAGGGCCTGGGGGGGTCTGGGGACGATGTTTCGGAGGGTTCTCCCACGGGGGGGGTCTGAAATGGCTTGTCTTGGAGGGTCCAGACCCCCTCCCTTTTATTACGAAATCTGGAGTATGTTTATGCAGCTTGTTCGTCCTACGGGCAGCGCGGCAGAGGATCGCCATCCCCCTCGCGCTCAGATCCAGGCCGTCCCACTTTTTTTCAGGTTCGCTGCTTCTCTTGGCTGGTGCTAGCTTTCGCCGCAATCAGCGGCTCATCAGGCTTGAGCCTAAATTGGCTCTGGATTCGCACTCTACCTGCAAGGAGGAAAGACTGGTCTACTCTGCAAGAACGGTTTTCTGAAGACCGAT